ACCGCTCTATTATTTTTCCAGAGCCATGACATGAGTGAGAGCTAAAAGCTGGGATCTGCTAAGGGAGCCCTTGAGTCTAGCAAGGGAACAAGTCTACAAAAGGTTGCAAACAACTGGCTTAGGCAAAAAAAGTCAACGTTTATATCCCCATGAAAGGGTCAGCATTTGGGATGCTCAGTGGTGCCCCTCTACCAGCAGAGGCAACCTCAGGCAATTCACACCGTCAGGGGGGCTCTTTTCAGCTGCCTGCAGATTCAAGCCACTTTTGAAAACCTCGGTGCACCCAGGAGCTGAGGAGCCTTGGTGCTTTTTCAAAAGACAAGGATTGCAACCTGCAGAGAGATGCTGCAGACAGAGCGGGGGGTTAGGAGCCAGAATCTCCTTGCAGGGGTCGATTGCTGCAAACGATGCATGGCATCGAACCAGACCTCCACCCTGCTTGTCCCTCCGCCACACAGCTGGCTTTGCAGAAGTCACCCCTCTTGCAAGACTGTTCGTAGCAATTATCCGGTTAATGCCTGGGAAGTTTTATGGATACTGCAACACATAAGCCTGGGGTTAAAACTGTACTAGTCTGCCCGCTTGCACGGTGCAATCTCTTCTGATTTGTTAGGATCGAAGGGACATTATTCATCGATCCTCTCCGCGCTCGTAGGGGCTCTCGAGATTTACAAGTCGCCCTGATTGGATTTTAATCAACAGAGTCAAGTCTCGTTTATCCAAAGCAAAGGGCTCGGGCCGCACCAGGGACAGGGAGACTGCATGGCAGTGGCTTGGGCAGAGTGACAGATCTGGAAGCAGGGGGGAGGAATAAACTGTAACGCGGGTGCCCGGAAGATGCCAGGCTCAGCCTTGCTGTTCCCAACCCATCCCGAAAGGACCGGGCATCTCTGGAGCTGGCGTCTCCAGCCTCGTGCAACAAAGGCTGCCTTCTTGAAAGGACGGCCAGGCTGCGTGCCGCTCCCAGACACGGTGCTGCGGCACAGACTCGGGACAACAGTCGACGCTTTGAAAAGATGACGTGCTTGGGAGCCTCCGGGAAGGAGGCTGCATCTTTCTGGTAACCAAACACTCCGAAATAAACACACCGGGAAGTCTTCCCCGAGGTAGAAAGAGAAAATTGATTAAATTTCAAGATAAAAGCAGCCACCGGAGAACAGAGTTCGGGGACTGCAGACGATCATGCGGTGGGGTTGAACTCATCTGGCGTCTACCCCTCCCGGGCGAACATCCCATTAGCGGATGGATGGGGCTAGTGCAGCGTCTGCGCACCGCTCTCGTCAAATCGGAGGGTGCCGCCGCGGCCCCGCCAGCCAGCTTCGCCTCTGCCGTGGAGCGAGGCAGCGATTTGCCCTGGTGCAAAATTAAAAGTGAAAAGCTGCTGCCAGGTTTGAGCTGGAAGTGTCGGGTACGGGGGCAAAGCCCAGCAACAGCGCATCGCCGGGATGCAGAAGAGAGCGTCTACCCTTACAGCTGCTGCGGCGTCTGTCGGCAGAAAAGCAGGGCTCGTTTGCACAGGAGAAACATACGCTGCAAAAACCCGTATCGCTCTGCTTTACGTTGAATGGTCAGGCCTGTGGGGCCTCACCTAGGTTTCAGCTATGCAGGTGCACATCTGGAGTAACCCCATGCGTGAGCCACCCCCCGAGCGTGTACCTGCACGACTGACTGCTGCGTCTCGTCCTCGGCCCGGTAGGAAGGACCGTGCATGCAGCGGCAGGTCCCGGAGTCAAAGAATCATAAAAAATGCAGGTTGGAGGGACTTCAGGAGGTTGCATCTAATCCAACCCCCTGCTCAATGCAGGGCCAGCCCCGACTAGTTCATGCTTTGCCAAGCCGGGTCTTCAAAACCTCCAAGGATGGAGTCGCTGCATAAGAATACAGGTCCTGCCTTATGCAGATTTAAGCAGAAAACCAATGGGGAGGTTTATGCTCCTGTCTTCAGGGCCATCTTGCTCCTACCTGCTACTACTCCCATCCATCCTGCTTCATCTCAGCAGCTGAGGACCGACTAGGCACATCGATATGACGTGGGAAGGGCACGTCTGCAATGCAGCACAGACGTGACTGAGCCCGCTCTCTGCGACTGAAGCTAAACTCCCCCAGGCCCCGAACCACCAGTTCAGGTATCTCTACACCCTCTCTCCCCTCTCTGGATGGACATCAGGGATCCATGTCTACCGGGCCTCCCTGCAACCACAGTTTCCGGATAAAAAAGAAACGGGCGTTGGAGGGCAGCCTGCAGCGACTCTCAATGTATTTTGCAGCGAATTAAAAACAAATAAGTGCAATATAAAAGGATGCGGGGG